GTCTTTGCAATTTTACGTTGAGGAACATTTTTCCTGAAATTGTTCCACAATTTTTAGACGCAGTTTTCGCAGATTGGTGAATCTCTGTCCATCTTGGCTTCTGAGAGACTCTGCCTCTCTAAAATGCTCTTTTTATACCCAGTCATGTGAGGTAGTTGCAAATTGTGAAACACACAGTGCAACTCAGTTTTCTAAAAGTTGGGGCACTGTGCAAAATGTAAGTAAACAGCATTGAAAATAGTATAAAGACAACATATCAAATGTTGAAACTTATAAATTGTTTTGTTTTTGGAAAATATATGCCAATTTTGAATTTGATGCCAGTAACATATTTCAAAAAAGTTGGGACCTTGGGGCAGTGCTGCTGTTTATGAGTTGTCATTGTCTTGCTGAAATAAGCAAGCCCATCAGATGTTAGTTTTAACTTGCAGTTACAAACTGTTGACAGACAGTGGTTTTTGTGTTCCTGAGCCCATGCAATGATTTCCACTAAAGAATCATGTCTGTTTTTAATGCAGTGCCACCTGAGGGCCCAAAAAAATCATGGCTAGCCAGTATTGATTTTCAGACTTATCTTTTGCATACACAGATTTTTCCGGATTCTCTGAATCTTTTAATGATATTATGTACTGTTTATGATGACCCCCCCCCCAATCTTTACTTCTGAACAACTCAGGCTCTTTGGGATGCTCTTTTTTATACCCAGTCATGTTACTGACCTGTTGCCAATTAATCTAATTTGTTGTGAGATGTTCCACCAGGTGTTTTTTTAGGATTACAGTACCAGTTTTTTTGTTGCCCCAGTCCCAACTTTTTCAAAATGAGCATATAATTTTGCAAAAGCAATACAATACAATTTGTACTATCTTTAAAAGAAATACAAGGTTTATATTATTTGCACATCATTGCATTCTGTTTTTATTTACATTTTGCACAGCATCATGCTCTAATGATCATAGGCTATGGCGATATAAACACACTTTTGAACACTAAAGCAGTTCTAGGGGTGGGAATCTCTAGGCACCTCACAATACACTTCGATTACGATTCAGAGGGCTGCGGTGCGATTATACGATGCATTTTGATGCATCTTTTTTTCTATATGGGATTTTTTGGAACTTGGAACTTTTAAAGCAAAGTATTTGTAATGACCCACAATGAATTTACTTCCAATATCTTTTATTATTAAATCAAATGGAAGTGATGTGGCAAGTGAACTGGAAGGCTCTCATTCACTGCTCTTGTTTGGAGCACATGAGACGCAGGCTGCCACTCATCTGCGATAAAATACGCAGTTATAGTGAAATAAGATCCTGTGGCAGTGGGTGTCTATGCAGCAGATTACAGCTGTTCTACCCGTTTTCTTCAGTGATTTCATAACTTCGGTTTTGGTCTCGTTGTAGAGAGTGGGGTTGCTATGTCAGTAAAATATATTGGAGATGAAATGCTGTATATCTCAAAGACTGAGCACTGATGCAAATCCTTGGCAATAAAAGTTGCGATAGAGTTTGTAGTTCGCTTCATCTTTTCCGAGTTGGGTGGAAGCTTTGACATCACTTGCTTGATGGTCCTCTGGTTGGCAGCAACTACAACCTGGCAGAAAATGGATGGAAACATGTAATATGGTTTTCCCCCTCAACTCCATAGAAGCCAAAGTGCTTCCATACGCTAGCTCAAGGGTCAGCAACCTACGGCTCTTTTACTGGCCGGTTGTGGCTCCACATCAGAATTAGATTTCTAGGTAAAAATAGAATAATCCTCTTTTGCAGTAAAATAAAGCTCTGCTAATCATTCAAACACAGTTTTATAAATGATCTTAAACGCTGGAATTAATGTAGCCTATAACTGCTAGTTCACCTAGCTAGTAGTTAACGAAAAGGCAAAGAGAAATATTCAGGACGAACATCGATAATTTGCAGACGAATAGACTTATTTGCATTTATAATCACTCCAGCTGGTTTCCTGATACATTTAATCTGCAGCGAGAAACTGTCCAACACTAAAAAACATGTGAAACTGAAGTCGGTTTCTCGTTCTCCAGCTTCTTGTTTTAATTTTCCTGTTCCCCCTTATATGGTGCAGCAGTTACATTCTGGCACCTCAGGCTCCATTTAAGGTGGAACGAGAAAATTTCAATGAGAAGCCGGAGAACGAGAACCTGACTTCCGCCTCGTAAAAAGTAGAACATCGAGAGACGTTTTACAAGAAATTGTTCTACTTTTGTGGAAAAGTATCCAGTTGGTAATGCAAGAAAAGCAGCTACAGCTGAGCTAAAGGTGAAAGCAGAGCAAAGTAAGTCTGCATTTTTGTTTGTATTATATTTTTAGCCTACACTAGGATATTAGCACATACTGAGACACATGTATAGCCAAGATGGTAAAATGGACTCAAAATGTTGTGGCTCTCAAGGTGGTTTGATTTTTGTTAAAGACAAAATGACTCTCATTAACATTTGGGTTGCCGAGCCCTGCACTAGCTCTTGATGTAGTGTGCACACCACAGACTGTCTGGGCGCTGCACTTCCGCACTTTGCAAAGTTCTGCCTTTTGCGTTCCGTCAACTTTACGTTATTAATTAAAATTTAGAAAATCGATTTTTGATATTTGTGAATCGATGAGCAAGCCAATGGCGACAGTGGCAAGGAAAAACTCCCTAAGAGCAAGAGGAAGAAGAAACCTTGAGAGGAACCAAGGCTCAAAAGGGGGAACCCATCCTCTTCTGGTCGACACCGGATAGCAAACAGCATTAGTATAACATATTAAAATACAGAAACAGGGAAAAAGTGAACGTGTGAGAGCAACGTGACGATGGCACCAACAAACCCTGTTTACCGTTTTTCAACCATGAATTTTACCTTTCCTCCTCCTGTGAGAGCGAAGCAGCCACAGCTTCCTTCCCTCTCGTGTCTCTCACAAAACTGAAAGAGACATTTGATTGGATTTACTCCACACGGGGAGGGACACTCAGACAGACTGCATAAGTACTGGTTAGTTGGTACTAGATGAGTCATCCACACTTCAAGGTGTCCAGTAATGCTGTGCAGTTGCATCACAGGTACACATAAATAACAGGCGCTTTTATCGGCAAGTGAGTTCATGTACCTATTCAGATAATAGGAAAAATGCTAAATATCTGCTCCGATTATTGGTCAGGCTGATAATTGGTCGACCCCTACTTTGTATACATTTACTGATTGCAGCTGCTATTCCTGCACAGTTTGTCGGCCACCCTCTGCCTTATCCATTATCACCACCAGAGAACCACTGCTGATTACATATTTGAGTGGTGGACCATTCTTAGCACAGCGGTGATATAACAGTAGCATGTGAGCGGGTGTTGCACCAGTGTATAATGGGATTTTTACACATTGTGTAGACATACTCTTCACTATTAGACACACCAACCTTATTGATATTGCCTAAATATAAATGTACAGTGGTACTAGAGAGTTTGTGAACCCTTTAGCATTCTTTGAATTTCTCCATATGTTTGACCTAAAGTGTGATCTGATCTTCATTTAAGTCTTAACAATAGATAGAGAGAACCCAGTAAAAGATAATAATGAAAATTAAATAATCATTAATTTATTGAACAAAGTAATCCAACATGTAATTTCTCTTTTGACAAAAGTATGTAAACCAGTTTTTTAGTAACTGGTGTGACCCCTTCATCAAGAAGGAATTTTGACCCATTACAGAACTACTTCAACTCAACAACAAAACCTCATATCTCTGTTTTTCAGTTTTTGACATAATTTGAAAGAACCCATTGCCCATGACCCAGAATTACTTGGATAAATGTCTGGTTCCATTGACTTACATTAAAAGTAAACTATTTTTTCCTTCTCCTGTAAAGTTATTATTTTGGAGATATATGGTTTTGTTCTGACAACAGCGATATATTCAATGCTTCGGATCCTGCCATGATGTTTCTTTTGGATTAAGATCTGGACTTTGGCTCAGCTATTCCAAAATGCAAAAATTCTTCTGCTTCAGTCATTTTTTGGAAGACTGAGTATTGTTTTTAAAGTTGTTGTCTTTGGATCACAGACTGATACCCTGATGTTCTCATAAAACAATTCAGAATGTGTAGGACCATCAAACTTGGCAGAGGTGATGGGTGTCTTGATCATGCAGATTTAACTAGTTCTTGCTCATTGGGGGTGACCTCCAGTTCCTCCTAAATAAATGCTTATGTGCTTGAGTACCCAATAGAAGTAACATATCATGAAAACAGGGCAAGTTTGTGTACATTAGTTACAATGAACTCCATAGTAATGCCTGATATTTGACAAACCCAGCTCCTACGATTGTTCAGTTCTCTCAAGTTGTAAACATCTTTTTTTGGTCAACAACTGTATGAATTCAGTTAATACACATTAGGACTGTACGATATTGACATAAAATGTGATGTTCAATATAGCTGTTAGATGTCGCAATGATATTAGAATGATATCTGGCTGGATGTGTAAACAGAAACCTAACTAACCTCTTCTTTAAGCAGATAAACAAGGGGGAGGCTTCTTGTTAGGCTTCTGATGATTTGAGCTGGCAATGTAATGACATCTCTCTGGCGTGATGTGTATGAGGTAATTTGGTCTGTCATCGGAGCTCTTAATGATGTGTTTATTGCAGAATCTCATATTGTGATAACAGAACCATGCGATTTATCGTGCAGCCCTACTACACATTACGCACAATACAATTTATTACACAATCTTATTTATTCATTTTTTCTTCCTCCATGGAAAAATGAACTTGCTATACCATGCTGTTGCCTAGCAATAGCTTCGCTCAGTATTTACCCTTAATAAAAAATAATTGACATTATCAGACTGCATTATATTAGGAAAAAGGTTTATTAAATATAAATGAGGAAGAATGGGGGAGGGTATATGTTTGCGGAAGAGAGAGACTGTGAGTTTGAGTACACATTAATGTCCACCCTCCCCACCAACAAGAACCCTCAAGGTGCTAAATGTCTGTTTGTCTCCTTTGCAGGTTTTGAAAGCATTTTAGAAGGGCTGTTTGGGCCAGGGCTAGTAAAAGACCTTCCTCTTTTTCAAGGTAAGGATGATTGTTTGTTTGTTTGTTTTTAAGGATCTTTTGGTTTTCAGTATTTTGATTGTGATCTTGAGTTAGAAATGAAAGTCTCACATAGGGCTAATCATCACATTATTTTACAAAGTAAATAAATAGGATAAATGCAGTAATTGCGGTAAACTGCAGTAGACATTAGATTTCTATGTCAGTGGTCTCCAGGATAAACCTTCTGAGATAGTTGTCAAAAAAGGTACATATGCCTATTCTGATATACCCAGTGTTTTCCACGGGATTTTGTGACACTATGCCGGTCTCTCTCAGGCCCTTTAGCAGGGTTGGGGGGCATGTTACACTAAAGGGAAATTTTGTATATTTTAAAGTTAAATGCAGTCTGGTACACTTTGGGAGTAACATTAAGAAGTTTGATCTATAAAGAACTAAACAATTTTGTGCTTTAGTAATTTAATCATGATGACATAGTAAAAAGGTCATAACCACAGGGCATGGTAAAGGAGTTTAACATCTGGTCAGACAAAAAATGAATAGAGCAAACATTTCAGCCCTCAAAGAAATGAAGCAGAAGTGATTACCCATGTTCAACTGGTTTATATTTTAAGAAAATATGAAATATTTAATTGAGAATATATAGAATAATGTAAAGGATAATTAAAATTTTGCCAAATAGACCTGTAATATCAAGGGCACAAACATTAAGCTTAAAGCAGCAGCAGTAATTTAAACTTGATTAGTAACATTATGAATGGCCCAATATAACAAAATTGCATGAAATAATCTTGTATGTTTGCTGCCGCACCAGTGTTCTAATAATTTATAAAATACCCATCCAGTGGTCCTACCAAACATGCGCATATTATTAGAAGGCTATCATGCAGAAATCTAGTGTTTCAAATGTTTTATTGCGTTTTTAATGTAAAACAGTACCGACTCATCTTAATATTACTACCTGCGATTTAGACAAGGCTGAAGTTAGCTTCTTATTCTCAGATTTCTTTTAATTTTTCTGTTCCATCATAAATGGTTCCTGAGTGCCTAGATGACCTGAGGCACCAAAAGGCATCTGCTGCACCATTTAAGGTGGAACAAAACAATATTTTTAGAACATCTTATCTGTGATAGGTACAATAAATGAGTTATCCATTAATAATCCTGCTTTACCCTGTAAGTCTAACTAAGGATTCACTTATTTTTGCACCTGCACAATTTCTGCATACTGGGTGTAATACTGTTCTGAACTGACATTATTTCTCAAAACACTAAAGTTGCTAAATATTTGCACTTTATTTAAACTAAGACAAGACAAAGTCTGACTAAATGTGGTTAACAGAACGAAAAATGTTGTGATGGGGGAGTAACTAAGTAGCGCGCTACTATTTGTAGCTAACTACAAATTTTTGTGGCTAATAGCTGTAGCCGCTACAGTTTTATTAAATGTAGCTAATAGCTGTGGCGCCTACAAATTTTTATGTAGCTATAGTGATAATTTTCACGACAATTTCGCTACAGGCTTCAGGCAAGCCGCTCAAAATCTGAACCATAGAACGCGGCTGTTAACTGGGCTGGTGGCGATTGTGCAATCCTGACTGAGCCACGGACAATTGAGCAAACGGGCACGCGCGGGTCCCACGCGCTGATCACCCATCACTAGTAGGCTTAGCTCAGGGGTCGCAACCGAAATGTTAAGAAGAGCCATTTTGCCCTTTCAACAAAAATTAAACCACCTTGGGAGCCACAACATTTTATGTCTGTTTTACAATCTTGGTTATAACTAAGTCTCAGTGTGTGCTAATGTGCTACTATAGGCTAAAATTATAAATGAAAATGCAGACTTGCTTAGCTCTGCTTTAAGCTTTAGCTCAGCTGTAGCCGCTTTTTTCGCACCTTAGTCAGGAAACTTTTCCGTGAGTTTCTTGTAAAATGTCTCTCAATGTTCGACCTTTCATGAGCTTGAAGCCGCTTCTCATTCACCAGCTTCTTGTTCAAATTGTCCCGTTCCACCTTAAATGGTGCCTGAGGTGCCAGACTGTACTGCTGCGCCGTTTAAGTTGGAACGGGAGAATTCAAACGAGAAGCTGGTGAATGAGAAGCGACTTCAGCTTCGCGAGTTGTTGCAGATTAAACGTATTAGGAAACCAGCTGAGCGCTTCTAAATGTAAATAAGTCCATTCATCTCCAAATGATCGATGTTCGTCTTAAATGTTTCTCTTTGCTTTTTCAAAATCCGCATTGCTATGTGACCAGAGTCAGTCTTCAGCGTTAAAGGTTTGTGAATTAGCAGTTATGCGTTAACTCCATTGTGTTAGAACTGTGTGTTATAATGATTTTACAGCAAAGGAGGATTGTTATTTTACCTAAAAATCTAGTTCTGCTGTGGAGCCGCAACAGCTCTGCAGCAGTCGAGAGATTATTCCGGCCTGATTCTCACCCCAAACAGAGCCAGTGTCACTGCTGAGGCTACAGTGTTACTGAAGTTTAACAAAGGACTCTGAATGTCACGTCTGTATCTTGCTGAAATGTTTAAATTGGAGCAGCGTTATTTCAGCAGTTGACAATGCTTTGCACAAAGTTGTTTGGTTTGTATTTGGTTATTTTTGCTGATTTTTGTTAGGGAAAACCTGGAATGATTGACTTTGCCTTTACTTTGTCTAAATTTTTGTTGGATATCATGCCTTTGGTTGTGTAAGTCTGATTGTTGGTTACACTTAAACTTCCTTTTTGGTGATCTTTTTGTATATTTGCAGCTTTTCAATTGTATGTTTCTTTCTGGCACATGATTAAATGCAGTGTCTTGTTCACACTATCAGATGGGCTTGTTTGGTGTGTCAGGTGAAGATTCACAAACATTCTGACAATCGCACTTTGAAATTAGCTAAAATGCAGTGCACTTTTTTTCAATAAGTAGATAAAAAGTAGCCACTACTTTTTCTGGAAATGTAGCTAAATTGTAGCTAGCTACAAAGTTTGGGAAAGTAGCTACAAAGTAGCCAACTACTAATTTTTCAGTAGCTATCCCAACCCTGTAAATATACAGGGGGTTCCGAAATTTTCAAGTGTGACTGTGCACTTCACTTTTCATTTTCTGCAAGCTGTTTCACTCTCCCAGGCAGTTCTCCTTCATTCATTCTGGTTGGTGTTTACATCCTGCCCCATGCATTTATATGCAAAGTGCTGAAACTGCTTGCCGCCCAGGTAATTAAAGTTGAGCGAGAGAGTACAGATTTATGTTTCATCATTGTGTTACTCTAACAGTTTTGTGGTCTCAAAACGATGAGTCTGGTGAGCACCAGGTGTCTTAGTGTCTTGGTGTCCTTGTGCAGTCATAACCTCCTGATGCTAAGCATTTAAGAGTTGACCACTCATGCCCTGGATGTCACCTTTTCCAACCATTTCCCTCTGGTGGTGGAAGACTCAGGACCATCAAAGGCACAACTAGACATGTTAACAGTTTCCTTAGAGCTGTGGCCCTCATTAATAATTGTGGACACCTTGCACTTTAGACTGAAACTTGCAGTTCTCTTTTCAGTTAAGTATTTTTTTTTTAATTCTCACATACTTTTTTATGTATTACATATGTGCATACTTGCAAGACAATTTTTATGTGTAACGTACGATACTTGGGAAAAAAGCTGTTTATGATCTGACTGTGATTTCCCATCAAACTGAATCCACATCAATTTCAGTGGTTGAAAATGGAAAAATGCTATCAGACCTAAAAAGAAAGTCTGAATTTAGCACAGTAGCTTGGTATCTAAATTTCATTTCATTTGGTCAAGTCAGGTTTATTGATATAGTGCTTTTTACAACAGCTGTTGCCACAAAGCAGCTTTAAAGAAAATCTGGGTCCAAGCCCCAATTAGCAAGCCACGTGATTTACATAAAATGGATTTTTTTTTTTTTTTTACACTAGCAAGTAATACATGACGTCACACACAACAAAACATTTAGAAGCACAAATGAAGTGTGATTAGCCTCTGTGGAATAAGCACTGATATATAGAAACAGATTTGCAGCAAGAACGGTAATGAAATATTCTTTTTGCCTGTAAAGCCCAAAATACACAGCAATATACAATTATTCTAGAAACCAAAATGCACCATGAATAAATAAGTGTACAATAAGGGAATACATTCTCTAAAGGATCTAAAGGATAAACAAATACACAGGAATTGTCACAACTGATGGGATAAAAATTTTGTGTAGCTCTTTTCTCTGGCTGATGGGTCTGTGTACCTTCTGTTCATTTAATTTACGTTTCAAAATGAAATGCCCATGGGCTCCGCCTCCCGCAGGATTCAAGGAACATTGTTGTGGTTTCATATTGTTAATGTTGTTGCTTTGTTAGTCTAAAATGTGTGTATGTGTTATTTTTGTTATTCTGTGTTGGGGTGTGGGCAGGGACAGCAGTGTTAGAGGGGTGATGAAACCTATGAAGGGGGTGTTATACCAATGGTTTTTATAGTGGCAGTATTTAAAAGGGGGGGGGTTGGAGTAGACTAATTACACACTGAATTCAATTCAAGAAGATTCTATATTCAGGCTTTTTTCACACCTTGTTTGTTTGCTAACAAACCAGAGTTTGCGTTTCTGTGAGTTTGTGTCTTTTTGGTTTGGTCCAGTTGTTTTCACACTGCATATCCTACTTTGTATAAACATGAGACACTTAACCCCATGTGTATTACAGACAAAGCAACACTAATAAACCTTACTTTGCATGTCCCTCTGTTCCGCGACCCATGTGCCATGTGGATTACTTCGCTGTTATTTTATTTTATTGCTTGTCTGCAATTATTAGCAGCTTGTGCCACACACATGATACAAGCTTCTATAAAGAGTCAGTTTTAAAATGGGCAGATCATGTGCTGACATGTTGCTAGAAGAAAATATGATGCTCTGGTGTTGAATTCTTTTGTCTGGTGCAGACTAGGGGTTGTGGGAAAATCGATTCTTAGATGCATCGCGATGCAGACGTGGAAGATTCTGAATCGATTCACAAATGTCAAAAATCA